AAGAAATATTTTAATGATATTGGTTTCTATAATGCAAAAAAAAATCGATCTAAAAATGTTTAATAAATGCCAGAGCAAATGTTTAATTGTATATTCACATATTTTGTTTACATGTTGAATCTGTACTTAAGATAAGTTAAATAAATTTAAAAAAACTGAAATCTAGTCTAATTTCAGTAAGTACAAAATTTCTTAATTCTTTATAGCAAATTTTTTGTTATAACTTTTTGCTCTGTGTTGGCTTGTTTGTCTCGGTCATAACTCGGTTTCCAATTGTGTTCAGGTGCCGGCCTCTGAACTTTGGCTATTGCCAATTTTCCTTTGCCCATTGTTGGGCTATTTCTTTGGACTACTCAGCAACCTTTGAACTTATCGACTCTTTTGGTCGGGTGCAATTATTACCCCAAGATGGCTCGCCAAATCGAGTATGCTGCCAATTTCGAATAGCCTGCGAAAGCCAGTCGAGTCCTTAATGCGCTTATCAGTATCACCCACACACACTCTCGGCCACGTCCTCTTCCGCATTCGCATCCTTTGCATATGCATGAGTCCTACAGGGCGACCCACGCTGCGTATGCGTAATGTGCGTATGCGTATGCGTAGTGTGTCGCTCTGGTTTCTCGCCATTTTTGGCAAGTGGCCTGTCGCCAGTTGGCAACCTGAAGGCAGTCCTGCCTGTGGGCCGGAAAAGCGATTAGGGAAAGGCTTAAATAATCCAGTTCCCTTCGATCATATCCGGCAATTCTGGGTCAATGATGTGGAAAAATGTTTATGACCTGGGCTGTAAATGGGTGCCATTGCAGAGATAAAATAATTATATTATTTTTTTTATTATTACCTCGTAGACTTATGTTTAATTAGTTTTATATAAGAGGATTTTTCTGTCATTTGATTGAAATTTCAATTATTTTGTAATTCAATGTTGAAGAAGTTTTCCAAATTTTTTTTGTACATATTTCAAATATTATTTAAAATGTTCTTTTGAGAATTTTTTTTATAAATTTTATACAGTTGCAGAGAGTACTCAGATGTTGTGTTTTGTTTTTGCCCATTTGAATTCAAAGCTGTAACCGTGCTTAAAACTGTTGCTCCTACGTGCTCATATATAATTCCGAACTGCACCTAAGACAGGCGACCCCCTTAACCCCAGATGCCCAGCTGTCCAAGGCAGGGTACAAACACAATACAAAAACGTAAGCAATAAAATGAATTTTTATGCCGCATTTTCGCAATGCAGGATAACACACACTCACACACACACACACACACACTCACTCACAAGCACACACACTCAGAGGGCGTCACCTCGACAAAAAATATGTGAATGTTACCTTTGGTGCTGCCACCAGCCCATGCCTTAACCCACAAAGCCCTTAACCCTACACACACCCACCCTCAGGATGCATTCCAGCAAACCAAAAGCGAACCGAACACATTTACACATGTAAGTGCATAAAAAATGTTTATGAATTTCAGTTTATGGCGCGTAAAACACGCCAATAAATGTACCAAGGCATTAAAAATGCCTTTCCCCAACGGCCACGCCCCCACGCCCCTTTTTGGGGGCCCACTCGTTGGACTTTGCCGCACTAATAAACAATCAGAAATGGGCATAAAGTATGGGGAATCGGGCAGGAATGGCAAAACGGCCAACGACAGCGGGGAATTTCCCTCCTGTGTTTTTCCTCACATTTTCCTCTTGGCCCCTTTTTTTCCCATTCCAATTCGCCATTTTTTTCTTCTTTTTTTTTTTCTTTGCCAGAAGGTGTTAGTCGCCCCGCTGGCGCAGTTCTTGTGGGCGCCCCCTCCCCCGACCACGCACCCCGGCCCACCATGAATATTTATGCAAAACACACACTGAAACAAACACACACATTTGGACTTCTGTTGGTCTTTTCCTGTCAGTCTCGGAGTCCTGAGTCCTGAGTCCTCTGTCCTGGCTCCTTGGTGTTTCCTTATTGTTGGCTGCGTTATGCCAAGTGCGCTCTAATGCACTTTACGACACTTTATGGCAGTTTTCCGGGGGCAGAAATTATGGCAAATTGATGAGAATATACATATGTGACATGGCTCCGTGCTGGTGCAAAAGTTTTTGTCATCTTGTCATTGAAAAGACAAGAGGCTGGAATTTACAAACTACAATATATCCGTATGTTCTGGATCGCATTATTGGTATTTGTCCCAACAAAAAACTCATTTTTGTTAGTACATTTACATATTGATTAAAGAACATTAAAGGATTGGTCAAAGACGTATTGAAGTAGTTGGTAAATCTTTTAATTCTTAAATACGTAAGTTGACATATTTAAATTTTTCCATGAATTTCACGAAATTATCATTTTAAAAGCACTACGAAATATTTTTCAAAGCATTTTATTCTACGTAGAATATTCAAAAATTTTGTACCTTCAAAATTTTTGTTTAATAGAATCAAATAAGCTATTAAGCAAATCACTTGCGTTTTTAAATTGTTAACTATTTCACCTGTGATAGTATTTTATATAGATTTTGCGATTTTTTGCGAGTATATCAAGCACTAAAGGCCGTCAAACCCTGCGTTTCTTTTATTGATGAAATTAGAGCTCCCAATAAACATTCCACCGATTGCCGGGCAAAATCCTTTCGCCAATTCAGTTGGAACTGAGCCCTTTTCTTGCCCACAAATGCCACCAAGCATTTGCGTCAATTGCGCACTTCTTCCCTTTTATTTGGCCTAATGAAAGTCCTGGGCAATGTCCCGCTTCTGGCCGTGATCCCTGTTCGGGGTTTTTAGCGCCCTTTTGTCTCCGGCGGACGCCCCCATGCAAATTGTGTGGGCGGGGCAGCTGTTTTTCCTCGCTTTTCCCCCTTTCAAGTGGCCTGAACTCAGTTTTCCCCATTTTTCCTAGCCATTCCATTCGTTTGTAACAAGGCATGTTTTTTTTCTGCTTTTTTGAGTACTTAACGCCACGAGGAATCGCCTAAGACAACTGAAGCGCAAAAAATGCGAAAAACATGCTGAGAATAAAGTGCAAAATCGGGGGTAAAGAATGGCTAAGTGGACGAATGGGTGGCGGGGCGTGTAATCAAAGCGTTTGGATATCAAAGATTCGGAGAAAAGCAAAGTTATGCATAAATTTTGGACGCCGTCGCGACTGGCGATCCAAGCAAACCAACCCAACAAAATCAATACAGGAAACAAATTAGTTTCGCCTTAAAAGCAGAACAGTATCAAAATAAAATTTCAACAGTAGCATGGACAAAATAATACCGCAAAAAGAAAGAAAAGTACATACTCATGTCTCATAAAAATACACTAGAAAAAAAAAAACAATCACCCGGCTGTTTGACCTTTAATGTGGTTCTTTGTTTAATATTTATTTTATATAGATTTTTGATCTTTGTTTGCTTGGTATTTCTCATATCTTAAAGTTCAAAAATACATATAAATACGTACTGTATTATTAAATTGTATCATAATATTAAGTTACCGCCAATTTGACATTGAAAAGTGAGAAGAAGGGTAGTAATATATTTTTAAAGCTTTATCGACACTAGGAAAGGCCAGTTAAAAATGTAAGTCTTTGGGACTTTATTTTTCTTGGAAAGTATTTTGCGTGTACAAATAGGACCCTAAGTGACATTGTTTGTTGTGGTGCCGCAGGACACGAACAGACACGAGAGCCTAATAATAGCCGCACATAAAATTTTATTAGCACGAGCGTAACAATTCAATTGGGTCATGTTTTATGACGCCACAGGGGTGGCGAGGGGTCGGTTTCCAGGGGGTGCAGAACCCGCTGAAAAGAAAAAAACTGCCAACACATTTGGGTCAGTCAGGTGCAGTCGGAGGCCCCGAAAAAATTGGAAAAAAGAATGTGGATGTGTGCAGGATGCCCTCCTTTCATGTTTTCCTGGATTTCACTTTCATCAAACGATGTCAGTGAGAAGGGAAAATATTTGTGACAAGAAGGATATTTTCAAAGTCTTGAATTAAGGGTTAAGAAAGTTTTTCTGCTCTCTACAAAGAAAATAAGTACATTAAAATCAATAATAATGTATACAATATTTCTATTTTTAATCTTACATTTTGTATCACCCCAAGAATGAGTTTTCTACTTTATTATTTTAAATATATTTATAATTATTTAACTCATTTCTACGGTGTAAATATTTTAAAATTTAAAAAAGTACTACAACAACAGTTAAGCAATTCATTAAGAAACAACACCCAATTAATTACATTTTTAAATTCCATACAAACACCCTTGTTGCCTGCCGTCAGCGTGTTTAGTAATCCTTCACCAAATTCCCAACAAATTGCAATATATTTGTCTGCAATTTGCCAACACTTGATGGGATTATCATTTATTTTGGTGCTGACATTTCGCCAGCGGCGAAAACTCAATTTGAGGAAAAACTCATTTGTTGGCGCGACGAAAGGAGCGCAAAATGGTTTGAACAAACTCGAGCAATTGTCTTACACTCGCTTCAATTGGATTTCCGTTATGTTGCTTCTGGTATAGTCAGGGCCAAAATAATAGCACTAGGTCTGTATTTTGTTTTAAGTTTTTTGTGCGGTACTTTACATTATTCTAATAAACTTCTAATTAAGAAATAGTCTATAATTATATTGATTTTCTTAATATTGAAAATGTTACATTTTTAATTTGAAATATTAAAATTGACCATAAAAATTTATGAAATTTTAAAACAATTAAACAAACAATGAAAACAAAAATTGTAAATTCTTAAAAAGAATTAGAAACAGTTGGACTTTATTGCACATTGCAACAAATAATTTTATTGTTGTATTGGGAATATCATTTTATGTGTTCATTTAAAAATATTTTATTATAATCTCGCCCAAATGAATGTCCTTACAGAATTTCAGTTATCATGTGATTTTCCATACGACGACAGCTATTTTAATGCGCATATCTGTGGTTATATTGTTTCTTGTTCATGTTCTATATCCTAGACTTATCCTTGGCGTTCTTTTTTTTAACAATGTTTTACAGTTACGTGTGGAGGACTCTTACTGCGAGCGGAAAGAGAGAAAGAGAGGACGCCAGCGGGTTAGAGGGAGGCGGAGACAATAAGACTGAAGCTGGCAAACCTTACACAAAATGCGAAGAAGAAGAAGCACTGGCAGCGCACAACAACCACAGCAGCGGCCACACGAACAGCAACAGCAACAAAATCAAAGGTTAATCCCCGACCCACGCTGTTCGCTGCTAATGTTGCTAATTGTTGGCCAAGCAGTTTACGGTAAGTGCCACAACATAGCCAACGGCATAAGTGCGGGGAACGGGTGTTAAAGTGCGTTACTGCACTAAGAAAAAATATGAGCTTCTCTTAATATTATATATAATTTTTTACTGGCTTTATTTTAATTTTTTTTTGTATTAAACAAACATTATGTTAGAACTTTACACATGTAATGCTTATTCATTAATCTAAATAAAATGACTTTTTATGCATTTTTGGTTGAAAAAGTTTCAAATAATTTCTAAAATTAATTAGCTTTCAAAATCTCCCGCTAAATTCGTATGCTTTCAGCACACAAGTTTTTTAATATATTTTTCCTTGATTTAATTATACATGAATAAGTACTTTATAAAATCACTTATAAAGATTTCTAAAATAGCAGTCATTATTTTTCGGCCTGTGTAAGGCAATAAGGATCTCACACATGCGGAGACTTACTTTTATTGGGTGGGACATGGCCATTGCCCCGTTCTCTGACCTCATTAGACGTTCATTTGTTTGCTTATTTATGCGGACACACTCACACAGACACTGGGGAACTGGGAGATATATCGGCGATAGGTTGGATCATCATCTATATGGCCATATGGCATTTGCGGCCCTTTGTGTTACCAATTTCGCACACAAGTCGAATGCATACATTTTCGCATTTGGCCATAAAAACTCAAATCCTAAATGTACGGGCATGCGTGTGTGTGTGTGCATATGCCTATATGAGTGTGAGTTTGCCCCAAATTGTATGCTACAAAAAGCCACGCACAAAGATGATATATGTGTGTTTGTGCTTTGGTAGAATTTTGTGTTCGGCTGCCTGTAATTAATTGACTCGAACTCGCACATTTTTCGCATCGAGCACAAAAACAAGTCGCAAACTTTTCGCCCAGACAAGGTTCTTTTTTGTGTGTTTGTTTCCCCCTCTTTTAACACATATATTTTGCAGTGTATGTGCAGTCAAGGTCGTGTAAAAAGGACGGCAATTTCACGGCATTTCCCATCCCTTTGTTTTATTATGTTTGTCGCATTTTGTGGCAGCTGGCCAAGTTGGTCATCATAGCACAAATACACAAAATACGAGAATACTCCACAACACAATCCCATTTACATATTATGTCTGCTTGTACCTGCATTCTTATGTATCGATATGCATAAGTATGTCCTTTTGTCGAGTTGAGCTCACTTAATTGGCCGATTGTTTGCCAGCTTAACTTTAAGTCCCAGGGAAATCGATAACAACCTCAACGGTTCTCGATTGCCATCGATTTGTCAGCGACTTTTCGTGGTCTCAATTAAAAAACTTTTCATGCTAGAAAATACAAAGGGATTGCTTTATTACTTTAATTAGGAAGGTACAAAAACTTTTTGCGTCGAACTTTTGAAAACAAGATTATAACTCTTTAACCAATGGCTTAATTTGAAAAGAAGAAGGTGTTCAAAGCTTACAAATTCAAATTCAGCTTTTCAATTACAATTCTGCATAAGAGTATTACGATTATTAAATTACGAGTTAGAGCAAAAAAGGATTAAAGTTTTTTTTAAAGCAAGCTCAAAATCTCGATAAATTAATGTTTTTAATTAAAATTACAATAAATCAGCTTTGAAACCGCCTGTAAAATTTGTACAATATATATATATATATGCCCAACTCCAGCTAGACGAAAACACACTCAATTGTCCTGCCATTATAGTGACTGTCTCTCTGGCCAATTGACACTAACCTCAAGACCGTGCAACGCCCCCTTGTCCGCCCCAATATCCTTGTGTGTCACCGCAAATGCGTTTTCTCAACTAAAGTAATTGATTGACGCCACTGGACGAGCATTTACCAGACGTCCTGTGGTCCCTGGACTGGAACGAGGATGGCGAATCCTTTGATAGGGATTCATTTAATTGCTCCTGCTAGGGCTGGTCGTCGTTGTAGTCACTTCGAGCTGACAAATTCACCCACCTGTCCGGGTGGACAGGACATTTTTCGGCTTTTAGTAAGTGAAGCTGCAAAATGCCAAGGGTCGGTTTTTGTAACCCGAAATCGTTTAGTAGGACAAAAACATGGGGCAAAAAGGTCAACGACAAAGACGAAGCCACATTAAATTGCCTAATTTTTTTTTTGTTTACGATAATAATTTACGTAACGCAGGCGAAGGATTCAGTTTCAGATTCAGATCAAAGGGAGGAGGCAGCTGTCGGCAGTCTATCGTAATTGTAAATTAATGCATGCAGAAAATGTGACCCCCACAAGATGGCGGCGACCGGAAGTCAACTCTCGCACGCTCACACACACACAAGTCCTAACCAAATTGTTGCCTTCACGCTCGATGAATCCAGGGTAGCAAAGGGTGTATATATTTACTGGACAGGATAGTAGATTAAGGATACAATTATTCCTTCAAGTCAAACCAAAATTCCTTTTCTCAACTAAAAACAAAACTAATACAAATTGTCTGACAGATTTATCCTCTATTAAAGTTGCAATAGTGATCAAGAACTTAAGATTTTCTTAGTTGTTCTCTTAGTTTCTTCTTACACAAAAAACACTATACAAAATTTTGTCAAAAAAAACTATTTTTTTTTTTTTAATTTATGAGAAACTTTGTTAGCTTAAATACTAAACTTATGTAGGTTAAATTAATTTTTATATTCAATACATTTAAAATGTTTAAGACTCAATGAAGAGAATCCATAAGTACATCAAAATATGCGAACCCTTTCCATTTTCTTACATTGTCGCTGCCTTTTCTTGTATTTTGTTATTTTACTTCGCTTCGCCAATAATTGAATAATTTTGACATGAAAAATGGCACAAAGGATGCGGCTGGGGGGTGGGAAATCCGGGGTACAAGACCCAAGTTTATCGGGGCGAGGAATTTACCACACGTGGCAATCAAGCGGAAATATTCGGCAACGGAATGTGCTTGCATCAAAATTCGAATGTAAAAAATAAACAAAACCAAATTTAAATGGGAGAGAGATATATTCGTATATAAATGGTATAAAAAAAAATGGCTGGCGAGTGGAGAATTTCCATTTGATTTTGGTAAATCGAGTGGCAGCATTTCCTAGGTGTCCGTTTGGCTGCAAAATGTAAAAGGGAGTATGGGCATGGGCATGGGTATGGGTATGGGTATTCTCCTGCCAGTGGGGATTGCTTTTATTTATTTGAAATTAGAAACTGCCAACTGTTCCCAAAAGTGGCCATTAATTAAGGGCTATGGGCTGCCTGCTGGGGCAGCTACTGGGGATTGCGTAATGGCTGCAAAATGCTAACAAATAGCCAGTTGCCAGTTTTGAGTTGCCATCTTTGCAGGAGATGGGATTGACTGAGTGGGACAAATGGGAGTTGGATTTGTAAATAATTGTCTCACCTTTTCCCCTAAACAAACGGACAATCAATTTGCGAGTTGGCATCGAATAACTGGAAGCTGGCTTGTGTCATTCCCTCAATCAGCTGAAGATGTATGGTGGAGCGATAAAAACGCTTTCCTTGCTTAATTAATCAACGTTGGATAAGTGTTCCAACTGTTTAACCGCACTGCACTAATTTTACTACAATTTCCATACAATTTTAGTAATCAATTTATGTCATGTCACAGTTTCTCTTTGAATTACATTACAATATAAAAGTATGGTAATGCATTGAAGTATATTCAAATCAATATTGATGATATTAGCTTTGTTAGTGCAACATGTATGTGATGGCGAAAATATGAGTAAATCGATCGGATTATTGTTTGATAAAAAAAATATCTGAATCACTACAGTAATTTAATTCAAGTCTTTTAGCTTGATTTTACTATAAGTTATAATATGCTAAGATGAGGTTTTAAATCATGCATTATGCATTTTTAAAATAATTCCAACTCCAGCTAATTTGTCACTTTTAGGTGCTGGTAAACTCAACACTTTTCTGTCCACTTTCTTAACCAAATTTAAGGAGATCTAACCAATGTTTGTTTAAAGCACTTTTCATGCTCCTGTCACGGCCCGTCGCACTTGGCCATTTGCTCCAAATGTTTGTTGACCCAATTGTGGACGCCTTGGCCCTCGAACGAGGAAGTGAGACGGGGCTTTGCTGGCCATCTCGCTCTCGCTTTCGTTCTCTGGTCCAAAACTTAAAGAAGTTGAGGGAATTGAATTGGTTTTGACTTTGGTTTTGGCTTTAGCTTCAGCTTTGGCGTTATTCAACATTAGCTAATTTGTGTTCGTTCCTTGCTCTGGGATTTTTCTCTGGTCGTATTGCCTCTAATTTCTGCATCTTGCACTTGGCTTTTCCGCCGTTTCCCACTGCTGCCTTCTGCTTGTTTTGGCCATTCGACTTAAGTGCCATCCTGAATTGTCCTGGCTGCTTCTGTTCCTGCTTCTCTGGCTGTCTTTTGACACTGATTTCAATTATAAATTTGTTTTTGTTTTTCCCTTGTTTGGTACGAACCATTCCCATTTCCTTAACTTTCCTGGTTCCTGTACGCTTTTTTCTCTCTCTCTCTCTCTCTCATTTTCTCTCTTTTTTTTGTTGTATCTTCAATTTTTTCCGAGCTGCGATTGCTTTCTCAATTGGTGCCGCTGCTATGAGCGTTTGTCTGGCTATCACTTTTAATCTAAGTTGGGAACAATGCTCGGTTCCTCTGTCTCTAGCCACGCCCCTTTAGTTGTCCACCGCTCCCCTTAGCCCTGTGTAGTCTACCTTACTTTTTTTCCCTTCAGCCAGGATGTGAGCTCTGCCGGACTTCTTTTTATTTCTTTTTAAAGGGCCATAAGCTTATGTCTGGCACTGTGGCTTGGTAAACATACTGCGCGAAATCATATTCAGAAAATATATTCGCAAGCGAAATACAAATTTTTGAATAACTTTGCTGAACAGCTGTTGTGGGAATAAACCACTTGTTCTAACTGTAAACATTGTAAGGAACTTTTTAAGAATTAAGTACATATATTTTATTTAAATTATAAAAATATTTTATAAAGAAATGTAATCCTTAAAAATCATTTTAAGAACCTCATATGTTTTT